ATTATTTGTGGTAAAACTGGTATTGTTTTACAAAATTTAGTTTTTTTTTTCCAAAGACCAAAAGTACCCACTTAATATAAAATGAGTACTGTCACACTATTGAATCGGTATAAATCCATATAAATATTGACCAATTAAAAACCATTTGATGGCTCCATAGAGTTTTTGTCGAACAATTAGTTGCTTTAATTACATTTGAATCTCTAAGATAAAAATTAATAAATATAACTTTATGGTGGATGCATAATATTCTGTGAACTAAAGAGATTAGTTTAAATGGGTGATCAAGATTCAAAAACTAGTGGAAAAAATAATAATTATTTAACAGAAAAACAATTAAAAAAAAAAGATGGAGGGCCCAATCAGAGAGGGCTAATTAGGCCTACACATCACACTTTTGATTTCCATGAGAGATCCATGTTTGTATGTTTCATAGTCCTCCCCTTATATATTCGTATCACCCAAATTCATTTCAAACCATCAAAATTTCAAAAGCAGCTCCTTCACAATCTCCCTTCTCCCCAGTCTCAACTGCAATATACTAAAGAATATATAAATAAACAAATAAATTATATTTTTATTATAATTTTCGCCATGCCACTCTGTTCCGTGGCTCCGAAATTGGAAACCGACGACACTGAAGGTCAGGCCAATGGACCCGAGGACCACCAGCCCTCCTTTCTACAGTGGAGCTTGTACCCCATAACCTTAAAGGTCTCCCTCTCTCTGCTTAATAACACAAATTGACTAATATACATAGTTATAATAGAAATTTGGACATTTGCCTAAGTAGTCATAGTTTGTAACCCGTGCATGAAACCCATAATTCACTCTCATCACACACACACACACACACACACACACATACACTTTCTAACTATAATTTCTGTTTGAAGAGGTCGTCTACAAAATAAGCTACAGTAGCAAAAGAGGCAGCCCGAAACAAAAAATGATTCTCAACGGGATCTCGGGCATAGTCTACCCGGGCAAGCTTCTTGCCATGCTAGGCCCGGCAGCGGCAAGACCACCCTCCTCATGCCGCTGAACAAGTTCTTTGCCAATGGCGTCGTCACGCCGCTGAAGCCTCCACCACGATGCCACCTCCTCTCAGGCTAGGCTCGTCACCAGCACAGGTGCTTGAGCGACTACACGCACGGGGTTTTGTCGGAGGAGAGCGTCCAGGCAGGTACGACCAGCTTCAGCTGGTCGCTGCTGGACTTCAAGGGGTCAGTGTACGCGAGGTGGCCCATGTCTGTCGACTGAGATGGAGCTCATCAAGTCAACCCTCACGAACATCGTCTGAGCCCAAGAAACCACGTGATACCCAATCAATTTTTCGGCACTGAGGCAGGCTAACAACAAATGCCAGACAGAGTACACCGACGGTTTTCTTAGATACGGTTAGGCGACGAGTAATTTAAGTCGGCAAAATAACCCAAAATCCCAAACAAATTTGGATCAATACTTACCGACGGAGCTGAGAAACGTTTTTCTTTTTCATTCAAATCGCCGTATCAATTCCGGAAAACCACCTCGAAGATTTTCACCTGTGAATTTTTCATCCGCCATTCGCAAGATCAATTTCCCTTCACACTCTCTAAATGAAAAATAAAATCTGCCAAATTACAAATATTTATTAGATGCATCCTAATTTTCTCCAATTTTGCAGAATCATTAAAATCAAAGCAACAAAAGTGATATTCATCAATCTATTCCAAAAAACAAATTAGACTAATTAGCCATTGGAGACTGCAAGATGAATGGGGGTTTGGGGATTGACGCGATGCATAGATAAATACTGAAAAAATGAAATGTGAACTGATCGGACGATAATTTTGCAGCGAAGGTGGCTGTGAAATCTAAAATTCCGGCAAACGGAGGAGACAAGCTGCTTCAGAGTCGTCACAACGGCGTCGTTTCGGTCTCCATTTGATGACGAACGGTCGATGAGGAGCAATGGCAAGGTGGATACAACGGCGAGAGAGAGGCGATGAAATTGGGAGAGAGAGACATCGACGAAGAATGAAGAGAGAGAAAGGTTGAACGGCATATTTGTTCAATTTTCTAATATTTGAAGCAAAATAAATGAATAATAATAAATATGTATTTGTACGGGGAGTTGATTGAGAGGAAACAGAATATTGTATTGTATTAGAAGTAAATAGGAAATATGCCTGTTGTCTGTATTTGGAGTAAATAATAATTTTTCTTATTCTATTTTCTTCGTTTTTTTAGATATATGTATCTATACAAATATATTTAAAAATATACACAAATTATTATGTAAATTTAATTTAATTTTTAAATTTTAATGACCTGTGTTTGAATAATAATTTTATACAACTATGATTTTTTTTATGTTGATTGACCAAATTAAGTA